CTAGGTTGGAGTGCAGTGGCGCGATCTCGGCTCACTGCAACCTCCGCCTCCCAGGTTCAAGCAGTTCTCTGCCTCAGCCTTCCAAGTAGGTGGGATTACAGGCGCACACCACCATGCCCGGCTAATTTTTGTATCTTTAGTAGAGATGGGGTTTCACCATGTTGGCCAGGCTGGTCATGAACTCCTGACCTCGTGATCCACCCGCCTCGGCCTCCCAAAGTGCTGGGATCACAGGCGAAAGCCACCGCGCACGGTCTTGAGTGAAGTTTAAAAAGTATACTTAGAGTGGGTATTTATCCCTCCATGAAAGCGCCTTTTACTCAGCCAGCACAGAGCCGTCCCTTTGCCCTTCCAGATGCCTGACGGGGACCTTGCTTATGGATATGTGAGCTTTTAATCTCTGGCTGTCATCTCACCCCCTTCAACCTAAACTTGGGATGATTACTCTTGACTCGTTTTTTGGGTGATAAGGCAAATCTCCCCACACCTGGGTTGTGGGGAGAAGACAGAACAGTGCTAGTTTCTCGTTGCTGTTATTTTATGGTAACTATACAGCATTTTAAAGTTATATACTTTATGTTTAAATATTCCCCTTAAAAAGCTCGAACTATGTAACAATCTAGATGTGACTATCTTACTCTTTTCCCACAAACTAAGAATCCAAATAAATGTTGAAAATCTTAAAAAAAAAAAAAAAAAAGTATACTTAGGTTTTCTCCCCATCGAAAGGGGTGGAGAAGGCACTCCAGGAACTAGGAAGGCGTACCTGCCATCGTGTGGCTGGAGCACATGGGAGGTTTTCCCAGCTGACGATGGAGCAGATAGGGAGGGATTAGACTTGTAAGATCTTGAATTACATGGTAGGCTGGCTGTCTGGATCTTAAAATACAAAGTGAAATAGGTACCAGAAAACAGATGTGCTTTCATAATTCAGAAGGAGGACCAGTACCTCCTGTTGGATTGATGAAAAAAGGCTTCATGAAAAGATGGCATTTTGGAGGGTTGCAAACTGCAGGGATAGGATTTTGAAGTATAGAAAGGATTTCTACAGAGGGGAAAAGACTTTGTAGATGGAGGGCATAAGGTCAAATAGAGCCAATATGAGGACTAAGGAAAATCTGGGTTGATTAGACTGTAAGATATGTTTGAAGGCCAGATGCGGTGGCTCATGCCTGTAATCCCAGCACCTGGGAGGCCAAGGCAGGTGGATCACTTGAGGTCAGGTAAGACCAGCCTGGCCAACATGGCGAAACCCCGTCTCTACTAAAAATACAAAAATTAGTTGGGCATGGTGGCTTATGCCTGTTATCTCAGCTACTTTGGAAGCTAAGGGAGGAGAATCGCTTGAACCCAGGAGGCTGAGGTTGCAGTGAACCGAGATTGCACCACTGCACTCCAGCCTGGGTGACAAAGTGAGAATCCATCTCAAAAAAGAAAATAAAGAAGCCGGGCGCAGTGGCTCATGCTCATAATTCCAGCACTTTGGGAGGCTAAGGCAGGCAGATCACGAGGTCAGAGTTCAAGACCAGCCTGGCCAATAGGGTGAAAGCCCATCTCTACTTAAAAAATACAAAAATTAGCTAGGCATGGTGGTGCTCACCTGCAGTCTCAGCTACTCGGGAGGCTGAGGCAGGAGAATCACTTGAACCCAGGAGGCAGAGGTTGCAGTGAGCCAAGATTGCACCACTGCACTCTAGCCTGGGCAACAGAGTGAGGGAGTGGAGTGGAGAGTGGAGTGGAGTGGAGGTCAGCTTTTTCATTCACAAATTGATTTTTCAGATTGTGAATTACCCATGCTTCACCTTGCTTTCTTTATCTTCCATGTCCTTCCCGTTAGTAAATCTAAAGGTAGGACCCTAAAGAAAAATGAAATTGAACCTTTTATTTAGTTGTTACTGAAAAACTATAAATCTGGTAATCATACCTCAAGTTCTCTTTCCAGCTCTGCAGTTAATTTCCTATGGATCTTTGGCAAATCATAGCCTCTCTGGGTTCTTGGACTCTTCGGATAGAAGATTCTGGTTTAGCCGGGCGCGGTGGCTCACACCTGTAATCCCAGCACTTTGGGAGGTCGAGGCGGGCGGATCACGAGGTCAGGAGATCGAGACCATCCTGGCTAACACAGTGAAACCCCGTCTTCACTAAAATTACAAAAAAAATTAGCCGGGCGTGATGGTGTCCCAGCTACTGTCTCAGCCAGTAGTCCCAGCTACTCGGGAGGCTGAGGCAGGAGAATGGCGTGAACCCGGGAGGTGGAGCTTGCAGTGAGCTAAGATCGGGCCACTGCACTTCAGTCTGAGCAACAGAGTGAGACTCCATCTCGGGAAAAAAAAAAAAAAGAAGATTCTGGTTTAAAAACTTTTATGACTATAATTTTAATCTTTGTTGGCAGAATTATAAATCAAATTGCATATTAAATGAACTGTAATTTATAAAGAAATTTAGTAGAAAATCTTTTCTAGGCCGGGCGTAGTGGCTCACACCTGTAATCCCAGCACTTTGGGAGGCCAAGGCTGGCAGATCACTTGAGGTCAAGAGTTCAAGACCAGCCTGGCCAACATGGTGAAACCCCGTCTCTACTAAAAATACAAAAATTAACTGGGCGTGGTGGCACATGCCTGTAGTCCCTGCTATTCGGGAGGCTAAGGCAGGAGAATTGCTTGAGCCCAGGAGGCAGAGGCTGCAGTGAGCCGAGATTGTGCCACTGCACTCCAGCCTGGGAAACAGTGAGACTCCGTCTCAAAAAAACAAAAAATCTTTTCTAGGCCAGGTACAGTGGCTTACACCTGTAATCTAGCATTTTGGAAGGCCAAAGAGGGAGGATCACTTGAGCCCAGCAGTTTGAGACCAGCCTGGGCAACATAGCAAGACCCTGTCTCTACAAACATTTTTTTTTAAATTACCTGGGTGTGGTGGTGCTCACCTAAGATGTCAGCTACTCAGAAGGCTGGGGTGGGAGGATAGCTTGAACCCAAGCAGTTTGAGGCCACAGTGAGCCATGATCATGCTACTGCACTCCAGGTTAGGTGATAGAGCAAGACCCTGTCTCTACCAAAAGGACACAAATTTAAAAAAGAAAATATATTTTCTAAAGCTTTTGCTTTTGAACTAGGCTAAGGGTAGGCTTATAGGCTCAAGCCTGTGATCCCAGGGTTTTGGGAGGCCAAGGCGGGAGGATCACTTGAAGCCAGGAGTTTGAAACCAGCCTGGGAAACATACCAAGACCCTGTCTCTACAAAATATTAAAAAAGACTTCGCCATTGGTGGTGACATGCACCTGTAATCCTAGCCACCTGGGAGGATTGCCTGAGCCCAGGAGTTTGAGACTACAGTGAGCCATGATCACACCACTGCACTCTAGCCTGGTTGACAGAGTGAAACCTTGTCTCAAAATAAAAAATAAAAAGAAATATTAATTGAAAACAGGTCAGGCATGGTGGCTCACGCCTGTAATCCAAGCACTTTGGGAGGCTGAAGAGGGTGGATTGCTTGAGTCCAGGAGTTTGAGAACAGCCTGGCCAACATGGTAAAACCCTGTCTCTACAAAAAGTACAAAAATTAGCCACGTGTGGTGGCCTGTGACTGTAGGCCCGGCTACTTGGGAGGCTAAGGTGGGATGATCACCTGAGCCTGGGGAGGTTGAGACTGCAGTGAGCCATGATCAGGCCGTTGCACTCCAGCCTGGGTGACAGAGTAAGACCCTGTCTTTAAAAAAAAAAAAAGAAAAGAAAAGAAATATTAATTAGAAACCCATGGTTGAAACTTACCTGAATAGAAGGCTTTATTTTTCTCATAGGTAAGCCTGTGTTTTCTTGGATGTGAAACTAGGGCAGTGGGTTGCTCTTAGGTAATACAAGATGAAATGCAGCGATGCGATGATGAGTGAAGTAGTCTGACCTGGTATTGCCATTGCTTCAATGTTGGCTTTGACCAGGGTATGATCTCTTAATCTTCTCTCTGAGCTGATTCTGGTTGTGGTTTTTCCACACAGGTGTGTTGTATCCTGTTTGGACACTGGTTTTATCATGTTTAAGATGTTTCTTTTATGTTCGTTTGAATTACTGATACTCGTGTTTTCCTTCTTAGGTTGAGATGAAAAATCTTGCTTTGAATTCTTCACGGAGGACTACGTCATTTCAATCTTGAATCTGGCTCAATTCTATTATTCACTTATTACTGTATTTAAAACATTTAATTGGCTGGGCACGGTGGCTCATGCCTGTAATCCCAGCACTTTGGGAGGCCAAGGCGGGCGGATCACTTGAGGTCAGGAGTTCAACACCAGCCGGGCCAACATGGCAAAACCCTGCCTCTACTAAAAATACAAAAATCATCCGGGTGTGGTGGCGCACACCTGTAATCACAGCTACTTGGGAGACTGAGGTGAGAGAATTGTTTGAAACCAGGAGGTGGAGGTTGCAGTGAGCTGAGATCATGCCACTGCACTCAAGCCGTGGCAACAGAGTGAGACTGTCTCAGTAAAAAAATAAAAATAAATAAAAATGTTTAATTAACCATGATATTTGCTTTAGTAAAAATTTTGAGGTTTAAAGAGAATTTTAAAATCCATTACACTTTTCTTATGGCATATAAAAGTTTAAATTTTTTTTATTATCTCAGCTAACATCATAAATGCCTTAATGTTAAAATCCATGGGATATTCTATTTAAAGTTTTAGCTTTATCACCTCTGTGCTATCAGAGAATGTGCTTTGAATTGGTAAAATGAGTTAAAGTATTGGAAAACACCTATGTCAGCAGAGGCTCTCAAAAATCATTTTCATCCTTCCTCTTCTAGTGATGATTTTTTTTTAAACCATGTTTTCACCAGCCTGCCAATCCAATGGCATAAATGCTCCTACATAGGCAACTTAAGTGTTTCTTAAGTTGATGCAAGGTATTTCGCATGAGGCTGAATTCTTATTGTTGGAGCAGAGGATTTTTGTTCCAACAACTGAATTGGCAAAACATCAATATAAAAACACCTCAAAAAGTCAACAGTAGTCTGAATGAAAAATTTATTTTAAACACCTCAAGTAATCTTTACATTTCTACAAAATCATAACAACATGGAAGTTCTTTTCCAGAAACATTTATTCTTAAAATCTACTTAAGTGTTTCATAGAAACTTTAGTAATAACCAGAATAATTCATGACAGTTTAGCAAACTCTTAGCAGCAAGCAGAAAGAACTTATTAAAATATCCTTTCTTTACACAATTAGATTAGTATTTTGCTTCACATCTTCATTGCTTGTTAGCTTTGCTTTTATACAGGAATCTTCAGACTAGTCTCTTTGTAACACTCAACCCCTATTCCTTTTTTAACCAGTTTCTCAAGAAAGATATGGAGAGCTCATACAGGAATATCCTTAAATATCCTAAATATCCAACTTTTAAGATGTCCTTTTTTATCCTTAAAAGCTGATAAACTATAGATGTCACTTAACAAATGCGTCACAGTATATGGAAGGAGCTTTTTTCCCCCCTAAAGTGTTTCTAAGCATTTCTATCAAGAGCAGGTCTACATTTCTTATCGTTTGCAAACTGATGAAATTTCCACCTTACAGACAGGCAGGCAAATGCTTTCTTTTCTAAAAAGGCTTGCTAACACCTCACTGTTCACTTTATTTTTTATGCAGTCTAACCTGGGTTTTTCCCAAGAGCTTCTGTACTTCTTATATTTTAAGGAAAGGGATAGACAAAAACTTGTGTACTCATTATTCTGTTTAATCTCTACACTGGCCCTCATATCCCCTGCCAGTCCTGATTCTTCTACTTTAAGCAGTTTGGTCAACTGTAAGTAGGGTTCTGGAGAGCAGGCTAAAAGGTTAGGATCAAATGGGCATATCCTTTTAAAGAAATCCATATAGTCATTTAAAGTTCATATAGTTATGAATTGAGGCTGAGAAGTGTCAACTCAGTACCATACTGAAACCAGGTCTGTGGCATTATAGCGCAATACTTTTGTTGTGAGGATAAGACACAATTCCTTTTCAGTTCTCGGGGGAGTAGAGTTTAATCAGATGTTGTACTTCTGTTGGATAACCTGTGATGGGACAAGCTTGGTGACTCCTCACATAATGAAACACACAGCGGTAACAAAACACATAGCCAGAGGTGGCAAGAACAGTATCATTCACCCGGGTTTTACGACACAGTGGGCACACAGTCTTCATTTTGGGTAAGAGGGGAGAATCAGAGTTATAGTCTAGGTGTACAGGTGGTGGTGGAGTAGGCAGGGCAGTCAATGACTTGATGGTTTCTTGATTTTCAGATGAGTACCACCAGTCAAGGAACTGCAAGAAGAATACACCCACAGAAAGGCCAGTAGACAGGGATAAGGCAACACCCCCCACAGCTTTCTTCAGAGCTGACTTTATCTTCTCACTAACACTGTTGGGAGAAAAGAACAAGGAGGCAAAGAGAGAAACTTTATTTAGGTATAATTACAAAGTGACTAACATGAATGCAGTTCTTACATTTTTCATCAGAATCACTGGGACTGAATGGTTGGTAGACTATCTCCTTAAGGATCTATTCTAAATGATTCTTTCTAACTTACAGTATTTTAGGGGCATAGGAGCTAAGCTTTGTTTTTAGTAACAAATGATTAGGGTTTTGTTTTGTGTTTTGAAAGAGAAATCAGTAGAGAATTTGATTATATAGATCTCCTCCCTTTTTTTAGTGGAAGATAGTGATCCAGAAAAAAAAAATTCACTTAACAAAAAACTTAGCAGTATTGAGGAATGTATATATTTGAACTTGTAGGAGAATATAAATATGAACTAGAAGGAGCACAACAACAATATGATTAAGAGCACAGTCTTAGGCTGGGTGCAGTGGTTCACAGAGCACAGTCTTTAGAATTGTATTGATTTGGCTTGAATCCCAGCTCTGCCACCTTCTAGCTATGTAGCTACATGACCTTGGCAAGGTACTTAACTGCTTGGGTTTAGTTTCCTCAACTGTGAGCTAATACATTTACTTCATTGGGTTGTGTAGAGGATTAAGATAATGTACGTAAAGAAAGCACCTAGCACAGAACCTGGGACATAGCAAGTATGCACTAAAGTATACCTAGTATGATAAAGGTTACCAGGATGACAGTCCTTATTTTATGGACACAAGGAATAGCTTTTCTGTGACTTTATGCAATACCACAAAGTTAACAGGTGAATTTCACAAAACTGGGATAAGATTTTAGAATTTACTAACTAAAGATCTTTTGGAAATGTTAAGGCCTTACCTCCAGGCTGGCTGCTGCATCATACTGGCCTTAGCTGGTTTGTGCTCCAGAGCTTGTATATCCTGAACTGTCAGTCGACCTAGCCGAACTCCAGCCAGCCTCAGCAGTGGTGAGTGATGCTGAGCTTTTCCTAGGATGTATCGAAGTTGTTGTACAAGAAACCATCCTTCCCAGGCCATATTCACAAATGGGTAAGCTGCCAGGAAGGCTCTGTAAAATCGTTTCCAGCGGGAAGAAGGGGGATGAATAGAATATTCATCCTCTTCTCTCAGGCTAGAAACCAGCTTCTCCAGCTTCACTTTCAGATAGGGAAGAAGAACCAGGACCATAATTGATTTCCAAAGCTGCTTCTTTGGGAGACCAGCACTAGCCAGTCTCTGAGACTTGTGAGTGTCCCCCATTACAATTCTCTTTAAGCCATAAAAGTTTTCAGAAAATGAGGCACTGGTTCTAGACAGGTAATGCTGCTGGACCAGAAGATCTAGCAGAGTAAAGATTTCATCAAACCACCTCCACAAGAAGCCATAGTGGGTGGGATTTGATTCTGCAAGAACCTAAAGCAAAATAAAGCAGTAAGTAAAATTCATTCCATTACACAAGTTCTACACCTATTTACATTCCCCCTTTTCCTCTAAAGTCTACACATTTTATCTTAAGTCACTTTTGGACCCTGAAATGCTGGGTATTCAGTACAGGTCTCTACACATAACAGAGACTCAATAACTCTTAAGTCATAGGATACAAGTATTTGCAAATTGGCTATTTCAAACGCTAGGCTACCAAATAAGCACAAATTATTCGTTGGTTTTTACCCAGTTGTCCCTAAAACCTTTCCAAGAATTAATACCTTACCTTGACCACATGCTGAAGAGCGGGTCTCACTGCTGTCATTAAACTGTCCTGTGCTACCACCTCAAAGATGGATGGCTGGTCATCGGCTACAGAAGCAGTTGTGATGTGAGCCCCGTGCTCAGCCATAGCTTCCTGTGTGTACTGGCTTTCACTTTTCCCACAAACTCTCCCGTGAGCATGAACTTTTTCGGGAGGAAGGGTATCAGATGCGTGCTCAGTCTTAAAGGTAAACTTTCTGCATAATATCTGAAACTCGAAACTCAATCTTAAGGGCAAAAATGAACTGGGGAAAAAAGACCTGTTCTGGAGGCGGAGGGGAGTCTCAAGAAGGTTAATAACAAAGTTAACTCGGACCTGGGTGGAAGTGGTATGTGCGAAGGGGTAACTTGTCAAATGCTGCACCTCAGGGCAGAGCGTGACTGTGGGGGACGCGATCCTGTCGAGCTGCGAACCAGAAAACCTCCTTTCCAATCGTGAGAGCTCAAAAGCCAGCCGACTCTAAGGATTCAGTCGTGTCACTGTAAGCCCAGGACATGAAAGCTAGCTCCAGCTGTTGGCTTTGAGTATCCCCGCCCGCGCCCGTCCTTGCTCGCTGACCCCACGCGAGGCGCAAAGAACCCACGACGCCACGTTTGAAGGGAGGTCTCCGCTTTATGACAGAAGCCGCACCCGGAAATAGAAACGACCGGGACCTCAGGGACGCCTGGCGGAAGAGAGGCACTCTAGTCCCGAATGCGGCCCGGAAACCGGAACTAGAGAACTATGACCCACCCGAACTTCCGCTCCCGCCCCGCTGAAAAGGGAGAGGGCTCTTGCGGTCTGGTTTTGGCTATGAGTATTCAGCTGGTTTGCTTTAGTTTTCGTAGCTGGGTCTGCATGGTAGCCTCGCTGGAAAGCTACAGCTCTGAACCTCTCTCTGCGAGGTCCTTTTGACAAGCTGTTTGGGGCACCGCGCAGACGTCTGGCGCCGGGAGCCAGAGCTCGGGCCAGTTGCTGAGCCCTGTGTTCCTCCTGCAGGAGATGGAGCTAGGGGCGGAGGGAGGAAGGGAATCTGGAGGTGGAAAGGACTTTGCTGTACACGCGCGGCAGGGATGGTGATTAATTTATATGTCTTCGCCTTCCAGAAAGGATTTAAAGCGACAAAGCAGGAGATAGGAGCCTTAGATTTATTGCCGCCAATTATAAGGAAAGATGATTGGATTGAGAAAAGTTCATGCTTGTTCCTCAGTACTTGAGACGGTTAATTTTCATCCAAGCTGGTAGTTTAACGTCTTCCAGGTTTTGGCTATATTCAAGCATAACTCCATGCTCTTGCTATACTGGAAGAAAATGGTCTCCGTCCTTGAACACAGTTGGATATGTCACCACCAGCGATGTGAATACAGTGCTAAAACAGAGGGAGCTTTATGAATTGTAACTAGCATGCACTGGGGACACTTGACAGAAAGGTTCCTTTCATGCCGTTTTTATGCCAAAACGAATGTGATTTACCTTAAGGTTTGTAAAGTACTTTTATATTATGTACAGCTTTGTCTCGCTGGAGTTGGCTGACACAGGCTTATGAGAGTTCCACCTCTCCTCCCTTCCTCTGGGAAGTGCCACCTCTGGGCTAAATAACTGGGAATAGAAGGTATTGTTTACTGCCCTAGAGGCCCTTATGTTATAAAAATAATTGGTTTGCATAATGAGAACCCTCAAAAACAAGGTTTGGATTTAGTTACTCCAATAGGAGAGAAAATCTTGCAAATTGTCCTTAATTATAGTTATAAAAAGTTTTTTACTCTACCAAAATCCATCATATTGATACATGATTTTTACCTTGCAGAGTTTTAAGACTAGACATAGTTTATCGATATAAAGCACCTGGATACATATTAGGTGCTTGTTTAATAGTAACTGTTATGTGCAAGCTTTTCTTAAGTGAATAGCAAATATACAAAGTTGAGAAGTAGCATCAACTAAAGCAGGAAATTAAACATTTTTATCACTTAGGGATCTTTGGTTACAAGCAAAAGAAACAAACAGGCTAATTTAAACTAAAACGGAATTTATAGAAGTGTATAGAATACCTCACAAAAATAGGTAAAGCCAGCCCTGAAAGAATAAGAAAGTAACAATACTATTGGGACTGCCTAACAGGAATTAGAAGTACTTATCCAGGCAACATTGTTGGCAGTGAACGAGATTCCACTAATTTCTGTTTGTGTCTGTGCTCATGATACAAATTTCGACTGACCTCTCGGTTCAAGTTCCCTCTCCACCCTCTCTTTTACTCTTAGCCAGGGGAAGGCAAGATGTCTTGATTGATAGTCCCATGGAAGTACTCCAGAAGTTAACTAAATGAATGGCATAAGAAAAAGGAGACCGGGCACGATGGCTCACGCCTATAATCCCAGCACTTTGAGAGGCCGAGGCGGGTGGATCACCTGAGGTCGAATTCCTGACCAGCCTCACCAACATGGAAAAACCCCATCTCTACTAGAAATACAAAAAATTTGCCAGGCGTGGTGGCACATGCCTGTAATCCCAGCTACTCGGGAGGCTGAGGCAGGAGAATCTTGAACCCAGGAAGCGGAGGTTGTGGTGAGCCGAGATTGCGCCATTGCACTTCAGCCTGGGTGACAGAACGAGACTCTGTCTCCAAAAAAAAAAAAGAAAGAAAAGAAAAGAAAAAAGGAAAGGTAGGGCCAGGTACAGTGACTCGTACCTGTAATCCCAGCACTTTGGGAGGCTGAGACAGGTGGATCATTTGAAGTCAGGAGTTTGAGACCAGCCTAGCCAACGTGGTGAAACCATCTCTAAAAATACAAAAATTAGCTTGGAGTAGTGGTGCAGGGGTGGCGGATGCCTGTTATTCCAGCTACTCGAGGCTGAGGCAGGAGAATCGCTTGAACCCAGGAGGCGGAGGTTGCAGTGACCTGAGATCACACCACTGCACTCCAGCCTGGGGAACAGAGCAAGACTCTGTCTCAAAAAAAAAAAAAAAAAAATTGCAAGTCAAATAAGAGGTCTGGGAGGCCCAACTCTTTTAGACTGGATGATCGGAATGTCCTGAGGACATAACAAACCTAAATTATGAGGAGCCGGCCATATGAAGAGTTGGGGAAAAGAATATTAGGCAGAAGGAACAGTATTGTGAAGACCCTAAGGTGGGAAAGAGCTTGGTGTGTTTGAGGGCTAGTATAGCTAGCGAAATGTGAAATGATGAGGAAATGAGCAGTGACTGAAAGGCATAAAATGATGTTAGAGAGGTAGACAGGTCAAACCATGCAGGGACTCACAGGCCATGGGAATGACCCTGGATTTTAGTCCAAGTGCAATGGGAAGCAAGCCAATCAAGGATTCACACACCAGAGATGAGATCAGATGTGTGTATAGTGTGTGTGTGTATATATATACATATATATATATATATTTTTTTTTTTTTTTTTTTTTGAAACGGAGTTTTGCTCTTGTTGCCCAGGCTGGAATGCGATGGCATGATGGCTCACTGCAGCCTCCGCCTCCCGGGTTCAAGCGATTCTCCTGCCTCAGCCTCCCAAGTAGCTGAGATTACAGGCACCTGCCACCACGCCCAGCTAATTTTTGTTTTTTTTGTTTTTATTTTTGTTTTTTTGTTGTTGTTGTTGAGACGGAGTCTCGCTCTGTCGCCCAGGCTGGAGTGCAGTGGCCGGATCTCGGCTCACTGCAAGCTCCACCTCCCAGGTTTACAATTTTTGTATTTTTAGTAGAGACGGGGTTTCATCATGTTGGTCAGGCTGGTCTCGAACTCCTGGCCTTGTGATCCACCCGCCTTGGCCTCCCAAAGTGCTGGGATTACAGATGTGAGCCACTGCGCCTGGCCAGGTTTATATTTTTTAAAGATGTCTCTGATGGTTTTGTGGGTGTGCAATATTTACATCAAGCTTGACATTTATGATATATGCACATTTTTGTTTTTGTTGTGTTTTGTTGAGATAGAGTCTCCCTTTGTAGCCGAGGCTGGAGTGCAGTAGTACAATCTCGGCTCACGCAACCTCCGCCTTGTGGGTTCAAGTGATTCTCCCACCTCACACCCCCCGAGTAGCTGGGACTACATGCATGTGCCATCAAGCCCAGCTAAACTTTGTATTTTTAGTAGAGACAGGGATTTGCCATGTTGGCCAGGCTGGTCTCAAACTCCTGGCCTCAAGTGATCCCCTTGCCTCTACCTCCCAAAGTGCTGGGATTATGGGTGTGAGCCACCGCATCAGGCTAGATATGCACGTTTTTAAATGTATGTTATACATCCAAAAAAGTTAAACAACCTGGCCACTATGTGGACAATGGTAGAGAGAAGACTTATAGGCTTCTAATAGTCCAGGCAAAAGGTGATGGTGGCTTGGATTCATGAGATTGAATAGAGGGAGTTGGATGGCTTTGAGATTTTTTTGTTACTTGTTTTTTTCTGTTTGTTTGTTTTTGTTTTTTGTTTTTGTTTTTTTTTGAGACAGAGTCTTGCTGTGTTGCCCAGGCTGGAGTGCAGTGGCGCAACCTCAGCTCACTGCAACCTCCGCCTTCTGGGTTCAAGCAATTCTGTACCTCAGCCTCCCCAATAGCTGAGATTACAGGCACCCGCCACAATGCTCAGCTAATTTTAGTAGAGATGGGGGTTTCACCATCTTGGCCAGGCAGGTTATGAACTCCTGACCTTGTGATCCATCCGCCTCGGCCTCCAAAGTGCTGGGATTACAGGCATGAGCCACAGTGCCCAGCCACGGCTTTGAGGTTTTAAAGGTAGAATTGACAACTGGAGATGGATTGGATGTGGCGGTTGAAGGAAAGGGAAATCAGGAATGACCCCTAGATTTCTGGTTTGTGCAGCTCAGTGCAATTTATTAAAATAGTCACAATTATAGGAAATAGTTCCATAGTCCATGCTATGTGCCAGCCATAGTTCTAAGTGCCTTACATGTAATTTATTTCATTGTTCAATATTATGGTTACTATCTTCCTCCATTTTATTGATGAGAAAAGCAAAGAAAGGAGCACACAGATGGAGGAAACTGGGGGAAAAATAGCTTTCAAACATGTTAGGCAATGAGAAGTTGAAAGTTTTTGAACAGCAGAGAGGTATGAATCAAAGCTCTTAAAAAGTTTTCTTTTTTCTTTTTCTTTTTTCTTTTTTTTTTCCTGAGATGGAGTCTCGCTTTATCGCCCAGGCTGGAGTGTAGCGGCACAATCTCAGCTCACTGCAACCTCCTCCTCTCGGGTTCAAGTGATTCTCCTGCCTCAGCCTCCCTAGTACCTGAGACTACAGGCATGTGTCACCATGCCTGGCTCATTTTTGTATTTTTAGTAGAGTCAAGGTTTCACCATGTTGGCCAGACTGGGTTCAAAGTCCTGACCTCAGGTGATCTACCTGCCTTGGCCTCCCAAAGTGCTGTGATCACAGGCATGAGCCACCATGGCCAGCCTCTTAAAGATTTTTCTAATGACATCTTTACGAAATCTATGTCTATCTGCTAGGAGTTGTACCTTGAACCAGGTTTCTCTCTCTCTCTCCCCCACCCCACC